TGTGTGCAAATGGTTTGTTTTCTCAAGTGTAATCATCAGAGGAGGAATCAGTGGTGGAGGAACTTTGACTTCCCCACACTGATGTTTGAGAAAAAGAAACTTATGTGATGGAGATATTTTTGTTCCTTTGACTGCCATATCTTTGTGTAATTTAGAAATTCTTTCTGCAGTGTTCTTTTTTTTTCTTAACTTTTTTTAAAATTTAATTTATTTTTTGGCCGTGTTGGGTCTCCATTGCTGCGTGCGGGCTTTCTCTAGTTGTGGCTAGCAGGGGCTACTCTTCGTTCCAATGCGTGGGCTTCTCATTGCAGTGACTTCTCTTGTTGCGGAGCATGGGCCCTAGGCATGCGGGCTTCAGTAGTTGTGGCTCGTGGGCTCTAGAGCTCAGGCTCAGTAGTTGTGGTACACAGGCTTAGTTGCTCCACGGCATGTGGGATCTTCCCAGACCAGGGCTCGAACCTGTGTCCCCTGCATTCGCAGGCAGATTCTTAACCACTGCACCACCAGGGAAGTCCTGCAGTGTCCTTGATAGATGGTTATTGTGAAAGTTAATTTAATGTGTCGATTTGACTGCACCATTGAGTGCCCAGACGTTTGGTGAAACATTATTCTGGGTCTATTTCGGGGGGTGTTTTCTAGATGAGATCAAGATTTGAATCTGTAGTCTGTGTAAAGCAATCTCCTTAATGTAGGTGGGCCTCATCCAATCAGTTGAAGGCCTGAATAGAACGAAAAGACTCTCTTCTCCTCCTCCCACACCCCATGAGTAAGGGAGAATTTCTCCTCTTCACTGCTTTCAAGTTGGGACATTGTTTTTCCCTCTGAGTGTCTCTGCACTCAGACTGAGACATGGGCTCTTCCTGGGTTGCTAGCCTACCAGCCTTGGACTGGAACTACACCCTTGGCTCTTCTGAGTCTCCAGCTTGCAGACTGGAGATCGTAGGACTTGTTAGCTTCCACAATTGTGTGGGCCAATTCCCTATGTATCTGTCTATCTCTGAAGAACCCTGACTAATCCAATTATGCCCATGGTTATATTCTTCCAGGGATGATGAGGTCACAACTTACTGAAGAAGTACATTTCTTTTGTAAACAGTTAAAATCATTAATTCTTAAAAAAAAATAATTCTGTTCCTTTGGTAGATGTTCCTATAAGTCATAGGGTCCTATTCTGTATTTTGGAGCAATGTAAAAATAAGTCTGGTTTCTTGCTATATGCTAGCTCTTCAGATACTATAGGACAGCCATCTTCATTTATTTGTGTCTTCTCAAAGTGGAATATCCTTAGAACCCTTTTGTTTAGACTGGATCTTAAGCCTCTTACCTATTCTTGTCACCATTTTCTGGATATTTCTAGTTTATAAACATTCCTCAAAATATGATACCTATAAGTAATCATCACTCTGGCTGTGGCCTGAGCATTAAAAAGTATGGCATTAACCTGAACTCACTCATGTTAATGAGTTAGGTCTTGGAATGGTGGTATTTTCCAAGGGTGCACACGTTTCCTAAAGGAAAGGTGTGGAAATGGAAAGAATAAGAACAAATTGAAAAAGGAATACAAACTGAAGGGAAATGAGACACAGTCTGCACCCTACCGTCTGCGTGAGAGTGGGATTGGCTGTCATGTCCCGGTAGGCCTGCACACCCCACAGGCACAGTTTAGCCCAGAATGGGGGCAGTTACTGAAAAGCCAGCTTGATACGCCAGTTGGGACATTCTCTGCATTCTGTAGCTCCTCAAGTTTCCACCAAAGCTGATTAGGATATGATACAAAAATTAAGAGTGTCTTACAATGTTTATCTGGTATAACAGAGAACAGGAAATGCATGAATAATCGAACAGCATAATATTAAAACTCTCGAGACAATGGTTTATTATCCTCAACAGAACTTTTACTTTTTTACTCACTTTCTAAGGATGAGTAAATTCTATTGTTATCCTTTCATGGACCTTATATTTTAAGCACCATGAGGGCAGGGACCTAGTTTTTAATGCCCTCTTGCTTATACAAGGCATTTAGTAGATTAAAAGAACAAAACAAAAAACAAAAATAACTTGAATAATCTGCAAGCTTGAGGTCCAGATTTTAGAGACTCATTTTGAGTGGAGGCTCATGAAGGTACTAGAAAGGTCTTTCTACCTCTGTGGGTCTCCCTGCTACTGAGCAGACTTACAGGCCCTAGACTGGGACATACCCATGCACCCTGCCCAGCCAGCAACAGATAACCAGGCTACCTTCATGGGATAGATAACGGTTACATATTGGTCAAGGTGAAAGTAGTGGGTCAAGATGGATGCAAGCAAGGCAGAGAAAAAAGTCTTTCTTTTTGTAAGAAAAGTGACCTGCCCCTACCCCCAAAGAAATTAGCATTGAAAGTTACTTATTTGGGGTAACATTTGAAAGAAAATTTTAACCTAACCACTCAAAACTTTTAAGTTACCTTGCATTTTTTTCCCCTTGTCATCCATATTTAGTCATTTATCAAGGTTCTGTCATTTCTTCAGTAATGCCTCTCATACCTGTTTCCATTTTTTTATTCTCTACACTCATCCGAGTCAGATTTTTGTTACATCTCACCTGGGAAAACTTTTTCCATAGTCCATTCTTCGTGCTGCCTCCAGGGGTCAGCTTTCTAAAACAAAGTTCTAACCAAGTCATTATCCTTCTTAAAAACGTTCCTTGATTCCTCATTTTCTGGATCTTTTTCAGCTTTATCTTTAACATTCCTATAATCCAGATGCCTCAGACTGCTTTGTTTTTCCACAGATTTATTCTCATTGTTTCTACTTGAATGCCTTTGCCATCTCTGCTTGCCAAAATCTAACCCTTCCTTTAAAAGCTCAAATGTCCGCTTCCTAGTAAGCCTTCCTTCACCTATCCCTGTTTTGAATTAATCATATTATTTTGCTCAATATTTTATGGGTTCTGCCTCTTAAAATACTTTTGTTCCTATTTGTCTCCCCTTCCTCGTTTTGAACTTGAGGGCATGGCTTGCACTTTATCCTTCTCTCTGTTCCCTGCAGTGCCTTGCAAACACTGACATTTTAATTTTAATATGGCAAATTTATCTTCTAGGTAGTTAAGAGAGAAAAGAAATCAGGAAGAGGTAGGCAGTTAGGGTAGGGGACAGAAATGGGATAAGAGCAACTGAGGGAGAGAACATGGTAGTAATTAGGAAGATAGCTGGGTTCTGATAAAAATCAGCTGGTGAAAATAGTAATTTGTTTATTGTCTCATTCACAATTAATGATGTATAAGTTAAACTGGGCCCTTTATGCTTCCACTGTGATCTGGAACAACAGCTGCTGAAAGTCACCAAAAACAGAAATAGAAAAGCATTCTTCAAGGATATAGAAACCATGACCATGAGCTGAGCTTTTGGACTTTTATGATAATCTAGTGCATAACCCACATAAATCCTAATAAAAATTCAACAGTAAATAAGCACTTTATTTGTTCTAGGCACAGAACCAACACCCCTGCCCTCCTGTAGCTTATAATCTAGCATGTTTGATCAAATGAAGCAGCTCGCTGGGTTGAGCTTGAGATGGTCCTAGTGCCTGTTGATGGCACTTCTAGGAGAGCTGTGAGGTTTCCAGCTCTGACCTGACCCAGGACAGTTTTTGCCTCCTGAAGTTCTTGAGTTCTGCATCAACAGTGGCTATCTGACTGTGAAATTTTCCCACTGGGGGAAGGTCCTGGAAGTCTGAGGGAAAGAATCCCAGGAACAGGAGAAAAAGGTGGGTAGCTGAATAAGAAATTAGAAGTGAGGAAGGTCTGACAAACAGCAATCAAATCTCTGGAGATTCAGGATAGTCCTGACAGCCAAGAGTGTAAGACTTTACCCCAGACTGAGGAATCTTGGTGTCAGAAAAGAAGAGTTCCCGTTTGGCACTCCAGGACCTAAACATTTGTGTAGGAATCTCAGAATCTGTCTCTCTGACTTTCTGTCTCAGACGTCCTTTCGTGGGGTTGGAAGACACTAGGCAACACCTACCTTGAAGTCCAATAACTCCTGCCAAACCAAGCCACTCACCTTGTCTCCAGTCATGCTGGTCGAATATTGGTCTGTGCTTTTGCTTGGGGTGCTCTCTATGCCCGCAATATTCTCCCTTCACTCCATATCCGCCCCATATGCATACCTTTTTGAAGCAGTACTTGACCAAGAAATGAGAATAAAGTGTATTGATCATGTAGAATTTTACCATAATGTAAAGGGCCATTGGCCTTCAGGAAATTTATCCTTGGTTAATTTTCTGTTTGATTCCCTTTGATGACTGTTTCACGCTTTTCCCACTCTTTCTGCCAAATGTAGAGAGGACAATGGTAAATACGGTGGAAAGAGCACGGGCTTTGCAATCAGACTTGAGTAGCAACTCTAGCTCTGAAGCCTATGAGGACTGTAATCACAGTCCAAGACATAGAACTGTTCTGAGCCTTAGTTTCTTCATCTGTTAGATTGAGATAACACATGACATGTTAATTAGACTCATTGTGGTGATCATTTTGCAATATATACAATGTTAAATAATTAGGTTGTACACCTGAAACTAATATGTATCAATTATACCTCAATTTAAAAAATGACCCCAGGGCTTCCCTGGTGGCGCAGTGGTTGAGAGTCCGCCTGCCGATGCAGGGGACGCGGGTTTGTGCCCCGGTCTGGGAAGATTGCACATGCTGCGGAGCGGCTGGGCCCGTGAGCC